AAAGAGGACGCAGACCATTGCTTTTAACTTCGCAAACAGGAATATGTATTTCATCAGTATTGGTGGTTGTCGGATCGCTACACGGCTACAATGTGTTAGTTGTGGTTTCTGGTAAATTATTATTATTTTTTATTTTAAATGCGACCTCTAGGGATATCCATTGTTTAAAAATAAATATGGAAAATTGCTTCTCTTTATTTTTAGTGTTATTATTTGTCTCATCATTCGCGATCGGGCTTGGCCCAATTCCTTATTTGATAATCCCGGGTATGGTTTTTATGATTTCTTGTATGACTGGCCGTTTATGTAATCCACTGCTCATATATGTCTTAACAGAAATATTGCCGACTCATTGTGTAAGTTCTGGTGGCTCAATCTGTTTAGGACTCAACTGGCTATGCGCATTCTTAGTTGGACTGACATTTCCGGCACTCCAGAGTGTTCTTGGAGGATACACTTTTCTCGTATTTGCCGTGATCACCGCAGTGTCCGGGTTTGCCTCGGTCTTTATTCCAGAGGTATAGACTTCAATAATTGTACCTTTACTGAACACTTACTTTCTCATGCATTCATTTTTGACTGATACAAACAACAATATTAATAACTGCAGACAAAAGGAAGAAGCCTTGAAGAAATAAACAGTAGTTATGCGAAAAAAAAGAATAACACTTGACATTTTTATTGAAAAGGTCTTCGGGAGATATACTGTATATACAGTATAAATATTTTAAAAAGCTCGATCAAATTTACAGTATTTTATATTCCGCACTTTTAATGTGTTTAATATTTAAGAATGCATATATACTTCGTTTTTCTGTGTTACGATATAGAATATACAGATATAAACCAGCTACGGTTTTATTTAATTTGAATCAGTACATTTTATGCTAACAATAATACTACTCTCTTAACGATATAGCCGTAGTGATAGCAGTACATGCGGCATTAAAAAATTTAAAGGTCAATTGCTCCGGCTTATCGTTTACTTCCTCAAGATCAAATACATCAAACTCCCCGAGTATACTTTGAAATATGCGAACCATCTCATTTGTGAGACTAGTGATCCTTCCAAAAAAGTAGCAGATATTTTTCGATTTCATATTTTTAAGTACATCTTCTGCAGTTAGGCCATGCGGGTCGCCTTCCGGATAAGTGTCTGCCAAGTTATTGAAACGAAGACCATGTGGTGGGGCGTCACAAACGTGTAAAAGGACACGAAATTCATTGCGCCAGGTCATTATGGTTATGGCCTCGTTAAGGCCACCCAGAACGTCTTCCGGGGTATCTCCGCCACCAGTAGCTACAACTTCCGCCACGAAATCTTTAAATTCTTCGTGCGAATCAGTGAAATTTAAACACTCAAAACGTTTGCTGTCGCAATGGTCGCGGTAACCGATGAAGCCAAAACGAACTTTAATTTTTGGTTCTATCTTTCCCATATATTCTTCTACAGCAATTATGCACTCCTTGGTGGCATCAATGTGACTCGCCATAGAGCCGGTGCAGTCTACTACGAAACAAAGATCAACCTCCATTGAAAGTTTAGTTCTACGTGTAATCGTTTTCGGGGGGGGGGGGGCTACAGATGAATATACTGTATGTGTCAACAATAGAGCTGGTTTGAAATTCAAAGGAAGATGTTGGTTTTTATAACGATCCTACGTTCTATGAATTTCTCGTACCACCTATTTTTATTATTTATTCCATATAAGCATTCCTATCGAAAAAGGATAGGGCTGACCATGCATGCGCGAATACGCAAATACTTCAATTCTTGGAAACAATAAAGAAATAAGTGATGATTTTTAATTATCACATAATTTAGGAAAAAAACATGTACGGTATAAATAAACTACAGAAATTACAGAATACTTTAGACCTTTATGCTAATATGCGACCTTTCGATAAATTATCTTTATCCTTCCTTCGTTCTAGGGAACCCACGGAAAAGGTGAATGTAAAAACTCTCGAAGAATTAAGGCGATCAAAGATAGAGTTGGAGGAGATGAAAAAACATGTCGCAAAAATTCAAGAAAAAAATAGAGATTTGAAAAATGAAATACTAGAACTCGTGAAAAAGGAACAATGGGAAAAGAAAAATCGAGGTTCGGTCGAATTGGAATTGATCAAAGAAAGAGAGCAGCGGAAAAAAGAAAAAGACCAGTGGGAAAAAGAGAAGCAAAATTTGATCGAAGAGAACGAGCAGCGTGAAAAAAAGAAGAGAAGGTTGCTCGAAGAGAAAGAGCAGCGTGAAAAGGAGAAGCGTAAGTTGATTGAAGAGAAAGAGCCGCGTGAAAAGGAGAAGCGTAAGTTGATCGAAGAGAAAGAGCAGAGTGAAAAGGAGAAGCGTAAGTTGATTGAAGAGAAAGAGCAGTGTGAAAAGGAGAAGAGAAAGTTGACAGAAGAGAAAGAGCATTGTGAGAAAGAGAAGAGAAAGTTGATCGAAGAGAAAGAGCATTGTGAGAAAGAGAAGAGAAAGTTGACCGAAGAGAAAGAGCAGCGTGAAAAGGAGAAGAGAAAGTTGATCGAAGAGAAAGAGCAATGGGAAAAAGGAAAAAAAGATTTAAAAAAGGATAATAAACAATGGGAACAATGGAAAAATGAAAAGCAGAATATGGAAAAACATATAGAGACTTTAGAACAACACGAAAAAACGCAAAAGAAAAATTTCACGCAAAATCTTCAAGAAGTACAGGAGGCTTATAAAAAGAAAATAGATGCTTTAACTCAAAGATTAGACGAGAAAGGGAATGGTTTACGTGAATTAGAAGAGAAAAACGCCGAGCTCCGAAGGGAGGCATCTAAATATCAGTCAGCCCTTGGTATTGCAACGAATGTTCGCCTTGGTGATGATGACCAGAATCATTCGGTTCAATTAAAACGGGACATCGAAAATTTACAAAGCGCATTAGAAAATTATGTAACACATTTGAAACCCAATATGAATATTGACGTTGAAAAAGTACGAGCCGCTGCAAAGGGATATAATTGTAAGAACGAAGTTACTGAAAAGAACTTAGATAAGTCCTTCATTAAAGCAATTCTACAACGCATAACATTAGACATGGTGTTATCCTATCGGTCACAGTTATTTAAACATCAAGGTAAATACTACGCACTTGAATCGGATATTGAGCTAAGAACGAGAGACTTATTAGAACCAATCAATACGTTATTAAAATCTCGCTGTGGAAATGATAAAGTAACTGACGCGACAATGATAAAGATACGTCAGCAAGTTTATGGGATTCTGGGTAACCGTGGATTTAACGATATAATCCGTAATGATCAAACCTATATACATAATCTTATACAACACATTAGCGAAAAACTTAATGAAATGATGAACGGATATCGTAAGATTAATGACGTTAATATGAGAAACCGAGTTGAGTCGATGGCGCCAAAACTTGTTCGAGATATTTGCAAATTATTTTGGTTTCGCGTAAACGTTCAAGAGCCACCCTTGGAATACTTTTTTTTTCCTGAGAATGTTATAATTGATCAAAATATGATGGAGGGAAAATGGAATGACGATGAAACCAATCAATTACACGTGGATATCTGTTATTTTCCAATGTTCGGATCAAGTTTGCAATTTCCGGATAGAAAAATACACACGCCTGCAAGAGTGTTTCCACAAAAAAATTAAAATTCAGAAGTGATAGATTTAACTATTCCAGGGATTTTTATGGTATACATGTAACGACACGTGATATAACAATAAATTACTCAATATATTTAAATATGTACTTTATTTATATAAATATCAATCCCAATAAATATAAAAATAAAATAACTTTATCCAAGATTAATCTTCTGCATTTATTTCAAGAGTGGTTTGATAAGTTTGGCCATTAATTCTATTATTCGCAGTCGCCGTAATCTCCATTCGGCCAAACGTTAACTTAAAGGTAGTGGGTCTTTTTGTTCCAAGCTCCACGTCCGGCCAATCAATTTTAAGTTTCCCAAGTAATTTCATTCCTGGTTCATCAATAAAATTTGCATCATATTCACGTGTGTAATAAATTTCAAATAGTCCAGTCTTTTGAAAAGGAAAACAAGGACAAAAATTATCAGCCGAAAATTCCTCGTCAGTCTTTACTTCGGTTCCTTTTCGTACGATAGTGTAGAAACGATATAAAAATCCATTATTTCGTTCGGGTGGGTCTCCAGGCTTCCATGCCGACAAAATTTTGACGCCGTAAGTGAATTTTAAAACACGTGAGTCTATGATAAATTTCAATCCATTCATGTTTATCGTGTCATCGATGTGGCGAAAACTTTGTCCATAAATTGCTGCGCCACGGGAAATCGCTGCGATCGGGTTCGTGGGAACGGAAATATTGTCAACGCGGTGACGCAGAAATTCTTGTTTAATTCTATTTTGTAGGTATACCGATTGACCGAAACCGCCAACCAAGAACATTATGGAACATTTCTCACGACAGTTATCAAGTTGAGCACTAATCATGCGTAGAATCCTTTCAACTACAGGATCAAACATTGATTTGATTGTTGCGTAATCAAGTCTAATCATCCATTCTTTTTCATCCATTTTTCTTTTCACCTCATCACTCGCGTATAGCGATAAAATCGGTGCGACTTCTTCAAGATTCATTATGAAACTAAAATCCGGATCATCGCCTGTAAATGGTAATTTCACGTGTCGACAAAATTCTTGAATCATATATTGCATTTGCCCGTAATAGCTGTTCTCCAGCATATCCATGACCTCACCGAGTTCTTCTCTTAAATACTTGATAAATTCAGCGTCAATGAAAGTACTTCCACAGTAGTCTCCTGCTCTTACGGTTATTTCGCCTAATCGATCTTTGTCCAATAATTTTCGCGTCGTCAAATCTACTGTACCGCCACCACAGTCGACGATCATGAAAATTGCTAAATGGGTAACAAATAATTCCAAACAATTTAGGTTCGCAATAAAAAGAGTGTAGATATGTTCGTTTAATAGTACATACTTCCGCTAGTTTCTAGATCGTGTTCTCGGAGATTGTCCATGCAATAAATTGCTGCGGCTTCGGCTACAGAATAATGGGAGAATGAATGAACGAAGAGAACGTGTTTAACAGGACTTATTTGATACGAAGCAGTGATTCTTACGCTCTGTGGTAAATTGTAATTGCTCGGACTTTTTATCAGCAATCAATCCTGCATTATATGCGCATTCTCTCATTATAGCTTTTGCACCTTCAGGATACTCCGCTGGAACAGTGATAACCAGGAGAGCATGTTTCAAAAATTCAATCCCTTCCCACTCACTTTCGACTGTTCTTTTCATGCACTTTATTTAAAAGAAAAGGGAATTGATGATAGATACGATAGTAAATCGGTGAAAAAATTCATTGTGCTCACCATTCCGATTTCTCGGAGATAATCGGTAATTGCTTTTTTATAGTCTACAACCGTAGAAAGCCTTCGTCTATGCTCTTCGTCTAAATCCCCTAAATGTAATTTAAATAATTCTACCACGTATGTTCGCTCGTTCTTATCTGACCTTGAACTTGGTCGTTTAGATAATGCAGGATAGCCCCATGCTTTGACATCTGTTAAATTTTCTTCGTATTGCAGTACAGTATTCGTTTTAAATTGGCATTGACCCTTTGGAAGAATTAATGATCTCAGTGAGAAAGTTCAAAGAGCAATGAATAAATACGGAACATACCCTTTCCCCAGGCCATCGATCATTTGTGATATATCTATCGCCATCAACATGACGGTAAGTGAATCCCTATGTTTAGAATCAAATATTATTAAGATACGAACAAGAAGCGAGAATGGTAAAGGAATGAATTAATAAATTATCGAGCATGTGGTGCGGATGCAAAGAATAAAAACAATAAAATTCTTTTTTACAGAGTAGGTTGTTCCAAAATCTAAGAAAAAATTTTTAGTTCAGGCAACAGTTAATTAAAATGAGCGTTAACAATGAGAGTACAGGCTACTTTGCGCGATCCTACCTAGGCCAACTACGACGCGAATATCCCATGACATTTTTTATTGAATAACTAAGTTTGTTTGATCTACCAAGAATAAATAAATACTTATTAATCAACTTTGTGAATTCACGAAAAAAATATTCGCTCACCTACCAAAGAGAATTGAGAATTGGAAGAAAAAAAGCAGCAGCGAATAGTGCTATATACTGTAGTATGTGTCAACGATTGGGTAGTGGATGACTTGATCCGGAGTGTGCAATTACTTTTTTAATAAAGTTAATGTATATGCACGCTTCATTCGATTTTATCACAAAATCGACATTTTAAAGTTTTCATTATTGCTTTATTTGTTATTTTAACGCAAAATTTACATAATCTCCAAAATTGGTCGTCAATGGACCGAAAATTGTTATTGGGCACTTCAAGACTGTAAGACCGTAACTAAAATTAATCGCCAATGGGCTTGAAAACCCTTTCATATAAGAAAAATTTCATTGTCGTCATTTGGACAATGTCCGAGGTACCTTCATTGTTCAAAAGAAGAAATAATGACGGTAACATTTCGGTGCATTTCGGTTCGAAATTGTCGTTTGTGCATATCATGACAAGCAGGTTCACTTCAGGTTATTCAAAAAATCCTGCTTAACATGATCATAAATTGTGAACACATATCCGAAGACCTTTTTGTTAAGAATGTCTTCGAGTGCTGATACTCGGGTTGTGGTGGCCATCGGTAAGTATTGGATCGAGTTTCTCGAGTAAAAAAAAAATCACGACGAAATAAGTTCATCGATGAATTATTATTAAACTTATTGTTCACATTTAGATTTTGGAACCACCTATTCCGTAAGAATCTTATTTAAAAACCGTGACAATTCACGCGAAATGCTCGATCATCTTAAAACTAATAAAATCTTTTGACTTCTAAATCAAGGGATTTGCGTATGCTCATAAATCGAATCCCGGTGAAATCATTGTACAAGATTATTGGAAAGATTTCAGTGGGTATTTCAAAACACCGACGGTCATAAAATATGACGATTCCTACACGATGGTCGAATCATGGGGACTACCAGCATTAGCAAAAAAACCTATTAGTCGAAGGCAACCTCTTCAACCTTCATCGAAACCTATCGAATTGTTTAAATTGCATCTACTAGGAAGGTCGTTGAGAGATAAGGACAAACCAACTTTACCGGATGGATTAGATTACAAGAGAGTTATTAAAGACTATCTGGAAAAATTACGTTTCGATGTTGAAAAAAACGTGAAGAATCATTGGTCAACGTTGGATTTCTACAAGCAGGTTGCCATCGTAATGACGGTAAAAAGGAATGCATTTACTAGCTCTTTCAGAAAGGAAAATTCTTCGTTGTAACACGGTTCCGTTTTTATCTCAAGGTTCCCGCGGAATTCAATGACAATGCAATTTCAATAATGCGTGAATGTGCATTTGAGGCAGGGTTGATCAGAGAAAAAGATAGTGAAAATTTGACATTTACAACGGAACGTAAGTTTAAATTATGTTCGATTGATAAAATGTTTGTACGCGTCTGTTAACTAGTTTTGAATAAACCATTTAAAATTCTTAAAAGCTGAAGCTGCAGCAATTCATTACATAAGTTCTCTAGAAAGGGAATACCATTTGAATCCGGGAGGTTTGTACATGCATGCATGACTTCATTTTTCATTTGTTCACAGTTATACTGTAATTCACTCTTGTCATTCGTGCAAACAGATTCGTTTATGGTAGTTGATTGCGGTGGGGGCACGGTGGACTTGACAGTGCGAGAATTGTTAGATGACAATCAATTGGTTGAAATAACTGAACGTAAAGGTGATTGTTGTGGTTCAAGTTATATAGATAAGGCGTTTATCGAATTTCTTGGTAATAAAATGGGAAAATCGACTATCGATACTCTAAAAAAGGATTATTACCGTTATCTGCAGTACATGGTGCAAGAATTTTGTAAGAACGTTAAATTTCGATTCACGGGAAAAGAAGAAGATTTTGATTATTCCGGCATTGACCTGGATGATTACGGGACAATGAAATTATGCGTTGAGGGTGAAGAAAAGGATCAACTGGAAAGAGATGAATGGTTGATCAATATTGACTTTAATGACGTCAAAGGAATGTTTGATCCGGTGATAGAAAGAATTATTGTATTGGTGAAAGATCAGTTGTTACAGTCGAGACAGCGTGAAAAAAAGGTTTCCCTAATGTTGCTGGTGGGTGGATTTAGCGAATCCGAATATTTGCAAACCAGAATTAGACAAGAATTTTCAAGTGTGGTGCCAAATATCTCTGTGCCTCTTCGGCCTATCATAGCTGTAATGAAAGGAGGTAAGTCGGATCAACTCTTTGAATTTCTTTTGCTAAAGTTTTTGGATAATGTTTATCTTTTGCTATTGAAACTCATAAGCTGTAAAATTCGGTCTGTCGGAAAAAACGATAAAGAATCGTGTGTTAAAGTGGAGTTACGGTATTACCCAACTGTTCACATCTTTTGAATTAATCTCTCGAGTAGTTATTTACAGTATATTTCTTCTTTTTTTTTAAAGGCACTGATATATTGCGAAGATGGAGATCCATCGATCCGTTGCCACAACGACTTCCAAACGGGTACATAAAAGTATTTGAAAAACTTGCAGAACGTGGCAAGTCGATTAGATTAAATGAGGAAGTTACCAAACGATTTAAGCCGTATTCGTCGATTCAGGACAAAATATACATGGATATGTATGTTACTCCATCCTTTGACGTGGAGTATTTTGACGACCCCGAAATGAATTTGCTTCGAAAATGGGAAATTAATTTAGATAGTTATGAGGATGATGTAACTTTTTTATTAACCCTAAAATTTGGCCACGTAGAAATTTTAGCCACCGCGGTGAACGAGAAAACTGGTGTGACAAAAGAAGTCACGTTTAAATATGACCTAGACTAATCAATTCATAGAATCTATTCACATGCAAATAAAGGATGCAATGTCTTAAGCAAAACGAAAATTTAAGTGTAACGTTTGAAATTTTCATTATCATTATTCTCTTAAGATTAATAAGAAACATAAAAAATCCAATTTCAAATTGTTTACTTATTAGGTGTCATTTCTTATTATTCTTCTTATTAGCTTTATCGTTTATATTATTACATACTCTTGAATATATGCAGAAGGTTATTTTATATAGAATTTTTTTATTTTTAAATATATTGAGTAAATGTTTTACTTTCATATAATGTACTGTATGTCACTACGTTACATCATTATATACCCTGACAAAGTTAAATATACAGTATTACTCCTAAATTAAATTTTTTTGTGGAAAAACTCTTGCGGGCGCGTGTATTTTTCTATCCGAGGATTGCATACCTGATATAAACATTGGAAAATAACAAACATCTACACTTGATTGATTAGTTTCATCGTCATTCCATTTTCCCTCCATCATATTTTGATCAATTATAGTATCCTTAGGAAAAAAAAAGATTTCTATTGTAGGCTCTTGAACGTTTACGCGAAACCAAAATAATTTACAAATATCTCGAACAAGTTTTGGCGCCATCGATTCGACTCGGGTTTTCATATTAACATCGTTAATCTTACGATATTCACTCATTATGGCATTAAGTTTCTTGCTAATACGATGAATGAGGTCGTGCAAATAGGGTTTATTATCACGGATTATATCGTTAAATCCATAATTACCCAGAACCCCATAAACTTGCTGGCGTATCTTTATTACCGTCGTGTCGACTACTTTATCATTTCGTTTGCGAGTTTTTGATAACGCATTTATTAGATCTAATAATTCTTTCATTTTCATTTCAATATCTGTTTCAAGTGCGTAGTCTTTTCCTTGCTGGTTAAGTAACTCTGGCTGATAAGATAACACTAGGTCTAATGCCTTGCGTTGTAAAATTGTTTTAATGAAGGGCTTATTTAGATTTTCTTCGGTAATTTCGTTTATGCAATCATACTCCTTTGCAAGCATTCGTACTTTTTTAACGTCGATATTCATATTAGGTTTCAAATGTGTTACATAATTTTCCAATATGTTTTGTAGATTTTCAATATCGCGTTTTAATTGAACCGGATGGTTCCAGTCATTGTCACCTAGGCGAACGTTCGTTGGAACATCAAGTGATGATTGATATCTAATTACTTTCCTTTGGAACTCGTCAGTTTTCTCTTCTAATTCACGTAAATCACTCCCTTTTTCATCCAACCTTTGAATCAAAGCATCTATTTTCTTACTATAGACCTCCTTTAATTCTTGAAACTTTTGCATGAAAGTTTCCTTTTGCGTTTTTTCGTGTTGTTCTAAAGTCTCTATATGTTTTTCCATACTCTGTTTTTCATTTTCCCACTGTTCCCATTGTTCCCACTGCTCTTTCCCTTTGATTAAATCTTGCTTTTCCTTTTTCCACTGCTCTTTCTCTTTGGTCCACTCTTGTTTTCCTTTTTCCCATTGCTCTTTCTCTTCGATCAACATTTGCCTTTCTTTTTCCCATTGCTCCTTCTCTTCGATCAACTTTCTCTCCTCTTTTTCCCATTGCTCCTTCTCTTCGATCAACTTTCTCTCCTCTTTTTCCCACTGCTCTTTCTCCTCGATCAACCTTCGCTTTTCTTTTTCCCATTGCTCTTTCTCTTCGATCAACTTACGCTTCTCCTTTTCCCACTGCTCTTTATCTTCGATCAACCTTTGTTTCCCCTTTTCCCACTGCTCTATATCTTCGATCAACCTTTGTTTCCCCTTTTTCCACTGCTCTTCCTCTTTGATCAACTCTCGGTTTTCTTTTTCCCACTGATCCTTCTCCTTGACCAATTCTTGCTTTTCCTCTTTCCACTGCTCTTTTTCTTTGATTGATTCTTGTCTTTCTTTATTCAACTTTTCCTCAACCAACTCTTGACTTTTCTTTTTCACTAATTCGAGTATTTCCTTTTGTAATTTTGCTTTCTCATCTAACAACTGTCTATAATTTTCTTGAACTTTTGTGACATTTTGCTTTAACTCGTCCAGCTCTCTTCTTGATCGTCTTAATTCATCTCCGAGACTTTTTACATGATTATCCATTTCCGTCATTTGTTGCTTATGAATACTTCGAAGAAAAGATAATGATAATAATTTGAGGGGACTAGGCATCTTAGCAAAAATGTCTCAAAGGATCCTGTAATCTCCGTAATTTATTTAAATAGTCACTTATTACTTTATATACTGTATACTTCATTATTTCCAAGAAAAATATCCATGTGCATATCTACGCATGCATTTTCCTTTTTTCGATATAATTACATTCCAATACAGAATATGTACAAGGCTCAGAGTTTTAGTTGCGAATTCTTACATTAATATAAAATATACGATATCACGTGTCTAATACATCGTTTAGATAAAAACGAGCAATCTAATTTTATT